TAATTTTAGTATATTAACTAGTTAAAAATATAAAGTATTATTATAAAATATTTAAATAATATTTTGTTAATATATTATTACAGTTTTTAAAATAATTAAAAAAGTTTATTTATAAAAAAATTTGCAATAAAAATTATATAAAGAATAATTTATATATTTTTTGTTTTTAATTATAAAGCTAATTTATTATTTAAAGATAAAATAACTAATTTAGATTGATTATTTAATTTATAATTTTCTTTAACAAATTTACATACAGTTAACTCCCTCTAAGTACAACCCCTCTAAGTGCAACTTCTCTCTAAATGCAATTAAATAGTCTGGTCCCATGTTGGGACTTATAATATAAATGCAAGCTCTTTATTCTCTAAGTGCAAGCTATTTTATAGCCCAAATATATTAATATCTTTCTCTATATGCAAGTCACCTGACTTTTAGCCAATCAAATCTCATGTTATGTACATTATAGTATCTTATAATTTTATATAATTTGTACAAATGAGATCATACTATCATACAAACTCTTATGATCATGAATTTTTTTCTTGTTATTTTTTGTACATTATAAAACACACACTCTATGTTATCATCCCAAGACATTAAAAAAATAATTGGATTTGTCAAAAAACAATTCTCAAAGAACTTGGTAAACCAGCATAATTGCATGTAGGAAAAAAGTTTGAAATAATAACAATAGTTTTTGTATTGCTATTTAAAGCTATCTTAATTTGTAAAAGTATACAATCTTGCAAAATCATTTTTTTAAACACTTCTAAATTCTTTTTTGGGATACTGTTATATATCGTTATATTTTAATTACAGTAGAATTTTCATGAGGTCACATATAATTAAATTTTTTTATGACTATATATTTTATATGTAATACATATTATGAGTACATTATACAAGTTTTTATATACTCATATGCAATTTTTGTAGCATACTTCACTACTTTATTAAACCATATTCTACTACTATTCATAATACCGATTTTATATATAGCTAATATATAGTAGCTATATATATACATACATATGTATGTATATATATACATATATTATATTAATATCAATATCTGATATGTAATCAAAATATATTGATTTGTTATATATACCAAAATTGACCAATCACAAGCATAAATATGTATCATATGCTAAAATAGTTAATTTTGAATATTTTTCTCTAAATGCAACTTCTCTCTATATGCAAGGCAATCTATCAGTCCTGACGAATTGCACTTAGAGGGAGTTGACTATAATATTTTTTGAACAGGAAAAGTTTTTATAAGATCTAGTTTGAAATTTTGTTTCCAAATTTCAGCAAGTGAAAGTTTATCTTTTAAATCTAAATCATTAAGTAATAAAAAATAATTTTTTTGTAATATAGTTGATTGGTTAAACCAATCTACAAAACAAAGAGTATGGCAAATAGAAACAAGTTTATTGTTATTATTATATGTATTATTTTTATCATATTTAGCTAGAAGAAGTATAGTATATTGTAAAAAATAATTGATTTTTCCTGGCCAATGAATTGCTTGTTCATTTTTATATTTAAATAATGCTAAAAAATATGCACCTAAATCAGAACGTATAAGTTCAGATCCAAAATATTCACCACCTAATTCTAAAGCACTAGCTCTTATAATTCTTTTTGAAACTAAATATGAATCTGAATTATTAGATACTTGTCCTTCAGCATAAAATTTAAGATTATCATTTGAATATATTTCAGTATAATAATTAACTAATAATTTTAAATTTTTATTAGATAAATATGCTTCAGAAAAGGGTTTAATTAATTTTCCAGGATAATCTTCAGATCTAGTAACAAAAAAATTAATATTAGTAATAGAATATTGAAATTCTATTATTTTTGGAATTGTATAATTATATATTGCTAATGTTTCTTTTGATAATTGTTCTTTTTGTAAATAGTTTAAAGCTTGTGCAATTGATGTTAATATTGGTTTTATTTGATATAAAAGTTCATAAATTTCAATTTGTTGATTTATATAATTAAACATATCTAATTCAACAGTTCTTCCAGAAGTATAAAAACTTGCAATTTGTCTATTTAATCTTTCATAAGCATAGCACCAATAACTATACCAAGCACCATAATTTAATATATCATCTTTTAAATGTAAATGATAATGTATATTAGGTGTTATTATATTAGAACTATATAATTTTTGAAATTCTTTTAAAAATTTTTTAAATAAACTATGTTCATGATTAATTTTTTCAGTTGTAATTATTCATTGTGATATAATTGATACTGCATTTACAAAATATGACCATACTTTTTGATCTTAAATTGGTAAAATATCTCTTAAAGCTATTGTTAAATATATTAAAGTCCATGTTTTCTATTAATCGGATGTGAATCCTGAAAAGCTAGATGCTATTTTATGTGGAATCCTTCCAATACTAGCAGGTGGTGGGCTATTATTAACAATATTTTGAATATTAATAAGCTGATTTTTTGAAATTAATTCAGTTTTTATTGTCCAAATTTTCATCATTTTACAAGCTGTTCCAAGAAAAATATTATGCATCGGATCAAATACAGAAAATGTTATTGGATCAAAATAAGATAATTGAAGAAAACTTGACTATCAAATACCTTATTGATCAAACAACTGTTTATGCTAACTAGATACAGAATATTTCCATTTCTCAGCTATTATTTTATGTTCTTTAATATTTTATAAAGAATAATTATCAATATTTAATTGATCTGAAGTATCATTAGTTTTAAAAATTTTTTTATATTTAAAACATGCATGTTTAGAAGAATGGCTGAAAAATCTACAAATTTTATTTTTTGCTGGTGTATCACATGAAACTAAAATTAAAGCTCTATAGTACATTCTTCTAGCTAGATATTTTATAGTTGCAAATAATTGACCGGCCCATAATTGTTTAAGCTCATCAACTAATGGATCCAAATATAAATTAATTTTTTCTGTAGGTGGTTTCTTTGGTCCAGGAATAAGACTAACAAAAATTGTGTTTTCTTTTTTATATTTTAAGTAATGTGGCAAATTTAAAATAGTTAAATAAATGCCAGCAATTGAATAAACTGTATGTTTAGTAACTTTAAACCAGTTAATATTAATTGCAAAGCCAATATTAGTTTTGTATAAAAATTTTTAAAAAAAAAGTTCTTTTTAATCATTTTTAAAAGTTTTCTATACTTGTCCGTCATAAAGATCAGAAAAAATATCAGATAAAGTGTTTTCTCTTTCATAACAAGATTCTACCAATTCTTTAAAACCAGGTCATTGCAATAAAGTAGCTAATTGACTTAAAATTGATTGATATGGATATACTTTAATTGGTTTATAAATTATTTTTCCTTTGCTTATTCTAATTGGCTTTTTTAATAGTGTTTTATATTCACTACAACTTGCTTGTGAATTATTAGATATACTTTCTAAATTAGTTAAAAAATGGCATTTTTCACATACAACAAATTGTATAATTGTTTTTTTAAATGACATAGCATTTTTAGCTTTATATAATGTCTCTGGAAAATTTGAATTATTATTAAATAATAAAGCTTTAATAAATATTAATAAAGCTGTAATTGCCGTATATGGTAAAGTAAAAGCTTGTTGAAAAGAAAAAATCTATAATAAACCCATTGAATTGTTAAGTTAAAAGAATCTTTAAAAGTATTTGATAATATAGAGTATAGTATATATTTGGAATTAGGTTAAGTATATGTTTTAGTATTTTTAAAGCTTAAAATTGTTTCTTCTTCAATATCACTATCTTCTAATTTTATATTATCAAGTAGTCCAGTATCTCTTATAAATGATGAATCTTCAAAATCATTTTTTTGTTCAGTTTCAGTTTCACTATCTTCTTCAGAAGAACTATAATTTAATACTACTTTAAAATTTTTTATTCATTTTATCTCTTCATTATTTATTTCTTCTGCTTCATGTTCTACTTCTTCATTTTCTCCTTCATTTTCTCCTTCTTGTCAATTCTTTGTTCAATATTACTTGCTAAAAATAATGTAGTTAAATCTTCAGCAGATGATATTGATAAATTAAAGCTTTGACTAGTAGATAATAATGGCTCTCTAGTTTCTTCCTGACTATTATCAATAGAATGATTTATTCTTCCAAATTCTTCTTGTCTATGTAATCTTTCTGTTTGAGTACTCACAACTTTTCCACTTTCACCACAAATAGAGCAATAACACCAAACTATATTTGTTTATAACTTTATAGTAATTAAAAAAATTGAAATATATTTTTCTTTTAATTTAAAAACAATTAATTTTCTATGTTATTGCTAAGAAAATAAAATATAAAAAATGTTTTTTTAATATTATATTGTTTTTCAAACTTTGCTCTTGTCATTTAATAAATTTTTCACAATATATATTTACATTTTAATATTCAAGATGTATTTTTTTTTGCCTAATAATAAATTTAAACCACAATCAAATATATATTTTCACTATATTGAAAAATATATAGAAAATTTTTAATATTATATAGAGTTTTAGCAAATATTAAGTTTGGCTTTTGCTATTTAAAAAAAAATTAATTATTACATACAATTATATATTCAATATTTAGATTTGTATTTTTTATTATTATTTTTTTTGTACATTTTTTTATGTTAAGAAAGAGAGTGTATGTTAATTTATTTCTCTTCTATTTATTTAGTTATTTACTATATTATGTATAGTAGTTAGTTTATTTAAACTATAATAACCTTTGTATATACGTATATATAATATTTGTATATATTAACATACGTAATAAACAGGTCAATCATTTCATCATTGTATTCCCACTCACACACTGTTGCAACTGGGAAAAGTTTCCAATTTTGCAATATTAGTTTAGCTTAGAGTTATGAATATAAGCTTGAGTTCAAGTCATAAAAGAAGGCAGATTAGTTAGATAGCATTATTCTATAGATTGTTGTTATATAGATTGTATAATAATTTATAAGTGAATAAATACGTACGTATATGCAAAATGTTTATGATTGTTGATCTAGCCAAGACTTAGACTATATAGTAGATCTAAAATTATTAAGATTGAATTTCTAGATACAAAATATAACATTACAGGCTATCAGCATGCTAAATAAAGGTTATAACAGGTTTGAGATTATTGTAGAATTCTATTTTTCCAAACACAACCTTTTTAATAGACATCTGGTTTTTTATTTGTTGATTAGTTTGCATATTTGTATGCTATAGTAAGTAGACTAATCTAGATTATAATTGATAGAGTACATATTATTAATAATTCATTATTTTGTCATTTTTATTATTGTTATACATGAATAAATAAGCTTTTTTTTTTAATAAAATACAAAACTTGTTAAACAAGTATAGCTAACTTAATCTATTCTATATTTAACTATGAACTCATACCTCAAAATTTCAGGTTGGAACTATAGTCAGATGGGCCAAAATCGATAGATTAACTTAGTCTATTATATATTTAACTATGAACTCATACCCCAAAATTCCAGGTCAGAACTTTGGTCAGATAGGCCAAAATCGTTCAATTTGCCCAAGATTATTAATTAAGTAAAAAGTGCCTAACTAATAATTTTACTATAGCTTTTGCCAACCAATATAGCTAACTCTAACTCTAATACTAATACATTTTGATTTAGACTCTTCTGTATAAAAATTTTTTATAGAATAATCTCTAAAATTCTAAGTCAAAATAGCTAGAATAGCTGGAATACAACATAGTTAGGATTGGGGTTAGCTATTCTCATTAATAGAGCTATAGTAAAATTATCTGTTAAATATTTTTTATTTGATGAATAACTGTTTTATTAATAAAATTCTTAGTAATCTTTGGCAAAATCGATCAATTCCGGCCCATCTGACCAGGGTTCTGAAGTATTCTAACCCAAAATCTCCCTGCATAAGTTTGTAAAAACTTTTAACAACAGAATATTGTTAGGTAACTTCATATGATTAGTTAGAACTATTTGCAAATATGATATATTTGTTAGATCAGAAACTTTTATTATTATACATGCAGAGTTTATTATCACTTGTGCATAACCTTTTTATCTAGCTATATATATCAAAAATTAATTTAATACATATTTAAATCAGCAAGATCAAATAAATAAAATAATCTCTATATATACACAAACCTGTATGATTATTTAAAGAAATATTTGTACGAATTAGCATTTTGAATATCAATATGAATATTTAATAAATTATTAAAACAGAAAAATGATACTTTATATAATTTAATTTAAAAAATATTCAATCTTACTAAAATAATCTAAAATTGCTTTAGTATCATACAACTTGCTAGTATATATGTCTTGAGAATGTATTTGTTCAATTAATTCTAGTTTAATTTTATTAGCTTCTAAAATTTGTTTTTTTGACTTCATTATTATATTCATGATCTATTTTATTTAATCAATAAGTAATTATAACAACAATTTCAGTTGCAGTAGATCATTATCATGATCCTTCTACTTATAATACACTAATCTCTGTTACTAATTGAAAAAAGTAACAGGCCCCATGAAATACCCCTACGTTAGCAGGGTATTTCTGGGCCCGTTACTTTTTCAATTAGTGACAGAGATTAGTACATCATAAGTAACTCCGTTAATCGGAGATTTTTAAAGTCTGCTGAAGTGTTGTGGTCACATGATTTTTGTCTTTTGTGTTCCCATGAAATTGGATAAAATTCAAACTCCGCTGAATCGGAGTTTGAATTTTGTTAAGTTGCAATTGTCGGTTTATTAAAAAAAAACAATTAAATGAAAAGATCAGCCGGTAAATTTTTCAGCATGATTAGTATATATAAAAATATAATATCTACGTCTTAAATTAAATATTCTCAATTTTTATTTACTATAATATTAACGTCTAAATTAAATATATTTTTGAATTCATTTAATTTTTATTAACTGTAATATTGATATAATATCTACATCTAAATTACATTGTTGTTCCAATTCTAAAAATTATTATAATAAATATAATACTGTTCTATGTACAAATAATTTTATTATTATAATATCAACATTATTAAAATTTCGTTTGAAAGCTTGCTCAATATGTTTAGTGTGTTTAATTTGTATGAAAGTTTATAAATAAAACTTGACAAGAAATATAAAAAAGGCTCCAGATATCAAATTAGCTTTTATAGTAAGTATATTACACAAATAGGTGTTAATATTAAAAAAGTTAGATATAATCAAGAATTTGTCAAATGGACTAAAAATTTAACTAAAAATTCAACTAAAGTCGAGATTCCAAAAAATGAAGACTTAATTAATATATATAATCAACACAATCAAAGCTCACAGTAGATCTAACAATTAAAGATTCTCTAGAATCTTTACTATCCATGGCAGATACTTTTGAATTGCTGACGTAAACATTGAATTATAGAATCAAAGGTCAATTTAACTTATTGAATCTTATAAATACAACCTGAATGTGATAAAAAAGATTTGGGGGCATGCTAAGAACAATTAGAACAATTAGAACGATCAGAACAAGATTGCAACTACTTAATTTTAGTAGAAATAATTTGTTGCATATCGACAAACAAAACCATAATTACTATTGTATATAAGCAGTTTCGTCTGAAAAAACTAACAGACTTGGTGTATACTAAGACATTCGTAAAATGAAATTGTTTCTATCAACTTCATTTCTTTCTTTTGAGTTTTGAAATTTATAAAAATAAAATGTTAAAAGTTTATAAAATAAAAATATGTATAAATATATGAAATATTACCTTTTTGTGCGTATATCCAAGTTGTAAAACTAATGTTACATTCCAATCAAAGTTCCATCTCGGATTTATCAGTCAGGTTTTTCTTTCATTAAAACTTAAAGATAATTTATATAATTCATGTTTAAAGAATGTGGTTTTCTGAAAGTGATAGAAGTTTTTTAATACAACCATATTTTGAAAATTCACAAGAACCCGACTTATAGAAGACTTGCTAACACCTAAGTGTTTTGCAATTTTTCGAGTTGATGGGCCTTCTCAAATTTTTTAATAATTTGCCAGCGAATGTGGGTTGAAAACATCATATTTTTTGAATTCAACAAGAAATGAGCATAATTTTTTATTTATATTAGCCACCTGATTTTAAATTACGTATATATTACAGTATTATATGAATTTATTATGCCAAAAAAATTACTGGCCAAAAACTTTTTTGGCTAATTTTTTTATAGGTGTTCCAGAAATAATGAAAACAGCTATAAACCGAAACTTTCGGCTGGCCAAAACTTCCGAAACTTCCAAAACTGGGCGAAAACTCTGAAACTGGACAAACCTCCAAACTAGCGAACTTTCCAAAACTTTCGAAACAAATAGCCAATAAAATATGAAAATTTTAGATCACATAAAAAACACGTATAAATAAGCATAAAGTTATATCCGATACTAGGCGAAACCTCCAAAATTGGGCGAACTTGGCTGAAGCGGCTTGGACTTTGTAGGAGGTTTAGGCCGAAACACTGGTCAGAATGCAATGGAGTAGGTCGGAATTAAGCAATAATAATAACTAGCAGTTAACACCTGAACAACTTTACTTAGCATGTGAATTACTAGTTCTGTAAGAATTTTATTAATGCTGTTGGTGGCAAAAGCACCAAAAAATTTGCTGTGCTGAATTTGACATCATGGAACCCGAAAACGTGACAAGGCCCCGATTCGAAGCTCCCACGGAATCATGAAGAAATTATAAGGAAAAAGTTCACACAAAGCCCCAAGACTACAAGACCCTATATTTGGGGCAGTGCCGAAAGCTTAGCTTGAGAAGGCAAAGCAATAATGGTGTAATGTGGTGGGCTCGGGTTTAGATTAGAAAAAAAGTTCGATCTTGTTCTGTTTCTTCCTCCCCAGATGTAATTTTTGTTATAAATATGGGCTTGTTTTGTCCCTAATAAAGGAGAGGAGTGTTTGCTCAATAAAAGTTGCTCTTTGGTTCTACCATATACTCGATACACCTTAGCCTTGCCAAATTTTAATCGCCTCTACAATCGAGTATATCGGGTGGTATGTCTATTGGTTGTGTGTTTTGAGTAGTGATTGGCTGGTCCATGCTGTGACCCATTGCCACCAACAATGCCTAATTGTTGCATCATAATCCTGCGATGGGAATATTCCATGATTCCATTTTATCGTAATTTGATCTTAGATTATTATTTTCTAGACCAATAATGTATTTTAACTAAACTAAATCAGGTGTAGAATGTGAAAACTATAATATATAAAAGTAGTCCTTTATTAATAAAGTGGGAGGATAGATGGATATTAAGACAGAAAGATTTGTCAGGAAGCATACACGATTAACAAAATAACTCCAATTACTTTAATTTATACTCTCCTTATATCCAACTATCATTAAAACCCAATAACCCTAATAAACACTTATCTTGCATAACCTATGCAGTGCCCAAAGCTAAATAAGCTACTCATGTTTACTTACTCCTCTCCCAAATCTGGGTGCTACACTAAATCTGGCAAAATTTATTATTTCTGATCCATTCTAACTGAAATTTTGGTCGATTTGGTTGAGTTACCTTAAGCATGAACATTGGACGTGCTCAACTACTAGCTATATTTTAAGTTAACTGGATCTTAAATATCTGTTAACCAATCTTTTAATCCTATTATCCGGATAGCCTATTTGTTAGCCAGTTATAATAATTTAGGGTACGACTACTATAAATGGTCATATAAAAGATTCTATTGAATAGTATACCCACTGAGTATTAGACACGTATGCAGATCTCAGGATCTACATTGCATATTACAAATGCAAAGTGTTTATGTATTTCAAATTTTACTTTCAATGGTACAAACTCTTAGACATGTACTGAACCCTAGATTTAAAATTGGTAGTGTAACAAACCCAGATATTTATATGACTATTTACAGTACTATTAAATCAATCTTAACCATTAAATGACTAATTATATCTAATTGATAAATATTATCCAGTTTATTATTAATATAACAATATATTTGAAATTGTGATTTTTCAAATATTGTAAATTTTGTAAATAATAATTAATTAGGTAAATCTTATATGTAATTATAGTAAATATTAATTTGCGAAATTTAAAATACAAGAGTAAAAAAATTGGATGTTTTAGATATTTTCACCATACTCATATTATCTAATCAAGTTACCATAATTCATAAAGTTATGTTCTTGGTTTCATGTGACAGCATTGCGCAGCTACCTTATTTCTAAGTTTGTTTAAACTTATGAATTTTGATTTGCTGTTTAATGCTTTGGTGTATTCTCATTGCCTATTTTATTTTTTAAATTTTAATTTTTTTTTAACAATTTAGCAGTCATGCCTTTACTTTATTAGGCTTTGTAATAATTAGTTTAGACTATTAAAATTTTAGAGAGAATTATCGGTGAGTGATAAACTTTAAACATGTCGGCAGATAGTGTATGAGAACTATCTCTAAACAACATGCGCCATGCCCAAGGGCCACACAACTATATCTAAATTACAAGTAAAAACTAATCTGGTTGCTCAATGAGTACCTATGTTTGACCTGCTA